GTCATGGTGGCTATCAAGGTGGCAGGGGGGAGCCACTTGAGAACCCAATGGAGGGATCACACCGCCACCTTCCAGGCCCAGCTCTGACTCTACGGGTGCTGCTGCCCTCTGAGCCCACTCCACCCCAGCCTCCTTGCTGTCCAGGTCAGACACTGCATGGGGGAGAGCCGTGGGGTCTCAGAGTCCACTGCCAGCTCACCTCATCTTCTCAGCTGGGATACTGACCTTAAGCCTGGATTTCTGGAGGTTGCCGACCTTCTCCTGCAAGACTTCCACTGTCGTTCCAAGCTGGGATGAGCCTCCCATGTTGGCTGAAAGTGAAGGAGTGGTTTTCAGGGCAGGGTCGGAGGAATAAGATTCAGCTTTGGTTATGAGGTGTTTAAGGCAGCGCTGCCCAGCAGAGATGTACAGAGCTTGGGGGCCTGGCAGGTGATTTTAGATTTACCTACTAGCCACATTCTAAAATAAATCTAAAAATAAGCAGGTAAGGGACCAGCAGATGATGCAATGGTTACGTTGCTGGACTCCCACATGGGTCGACCCCAGTTGGAGTCCCAGACCTGGCGACTTAAAACACACTGGCATATGTGCATGTGTACCCCCCCAAAAAAAAAACCCCAAGAGGAGAATGGAGGAGAAGGGACTGTGAAATGGCCATCCCCCCGCCCCCAGGGGTGATTTCTTGCTTTTCTGTCTCTCTCTATAGCAAAAATCTCTTTAAAAAAAAAGAGAGAGAGAGAGAGACCAGTAGTTGGCGTAATGTCTCTGTGTCTTTCTGGTGAGCGCATGCACCCTATAGCAAAAACCTCTCCAAAAAAAGAAAAAAAAAGAAGAAGAAAAAGAAGCAGATAAGGGTCAGCAGGTGGCATAGCAGTTAAGGTACTAGACAACCTCACAGCTAACCATGGTTTGAGTCCTGAACCCAGCGGCTTGAAACTCACAGCAGGCACATGTGCATGTGTGCAAAGTCCCAAGAGCAGAATGGAGAAGGGATTGTGGCATGACCATCTCCCCCTAGGGGCTAATTTCTCACTTTCTACCTCTCTGTCTCTCTCTGGTAAGCACATGAGCCCTATAGCAAAAAATCTCTCTCTAAAAAAAAAGCAGGTAAAATGAATTTTAATGCTTTTTTTTCTTACTTAACCCAATGTATCCAAAATAGGTATCACATTTTTTTTAGAGGTTTTTACTATAGGGCACGTGTGCTCACCAGACATACAGAGAGAGACAGAGAGACAGAAAGTGAGAAATCACCCCCCCCAGGGGGGATGGCCATGCCACAATCCCTTCTCCTCCGTTCTCCTCTCAGGATCTTGGGCACGCACACACATGTGCCTGGCGTGAGTTTTAAGCCACCGGGTCTGGGACGCGAACCGTGGTCGACTACGTGGGAGTCCAGCGACATAACCATTATGTTAACTGCTGGTCCCTCACTTTTATACATACTCAAAAAAAAAATTGTGGGCAGGATCAGCAGATGGCGTAATAGTTACATCACTGGACTCCCACGTAGTCAACCTTGGTTCAAGGCTTGGACCCAGCAGCTTTGATCTTACGTCTGGCGTGTGTGCACGTGCCCAAAATCCCAAGAGGAGAATGGAGGAGAAGGGATTGTGGCATGGCCATCTCCTTGGGGGGGGGAGGGTTTGTTTTCTGTCTCTCTGTCTTTCCAGTGAGCGCACATGCCCTATAGCAAAAGTCTCTCTGTAAAAAAATAATAAAAAGAAAATGATTGTGGGCTGGCCATGTAGCTCAGTGGCTAAGGCAGCTGACTCCTATGTGGCTAACTTCAGTTCAAATCCCAGTCTCAGCTGCTTGAAACATATATCAAGAGCATGTGCATGTGTGTACAAAATCCTGATGGGAAGGAGAAATGGAGGAAAAATGATTATGGTGTGGCCATATTCCATTGAGGTGTGCTTCCTCCCTCTCTCTCTGTCTCTGTCTCCCTCCCTCTGACACGTGCGTGTGCCTTCTAGCAATAAACGATGAATCAACATGCCTATCATAATTTCAGCTGTGTAGCCATTTTTTTTTTTTTGAGAGGTTTTTGCTATAGGCCGTGTGCACTTGTCAAAAAGAGAGATAGAGAGACAGAAAGCGAGAGATCACCCCCCCACGGGTGATGGCCATGCTGCAATCCCTTCTCCTTCATTCTCCTCTCAGGATCTTGGGCACGCGCACACACACCCCTGACATAAGTTTAAGCCACCGGGTCCAGGACTTGAACCGCGGTCAACTACATGGGAGTCCAGTGACATAGTCATTACGCCAACTGCTGGTCCCGCTATGTAGCCATTTTCACTGGTATCTATTATGTATGGTTCTTTTTTGCTATGTGAAGTTCTACTCTTTTTTTTTTTTTTAAGCGTTTCCTTCATGAAAGAAAGAACCAGAGGGGGAGAGGCAAGCACCCTCATCAGGGTCTCAGGCCGTGAGCCACACCCGGCCTGCCTGGCCAGCCCCATGTGCATGGGTTGACCATGAAACTGAACCTGCAATCTCCCCGTGTATCCAGTACTTCTCAAACAGTACTGTCACCACTGTGCCCCCGAGCCGGCCCCATGAGCTACGTGTAGCTCTCCTTTCCCCAGGACTCAGAACACACCGCCCGTGAGGTGCAGCTCCACACAGGGTCTGATCTGCCTCAACCACTGCGCTCGGCAGGCTGCAGCCAGACAAGGATTCAAGGAGCGCAGGGCAGGAGGTCTCCAAGTGGGCTCCCAGGGTCTATGGCACCAGCATCGACACCACCTGGCACAGATCAGAAAGATCAAGTCTTGGGCCCCACCTAGCGGGTCTGGGCCAGAATGCAGGGTAGGGCCTGGCAGTGTGCCTAACCAAGCCCTCCACAGACAGAGGTGAGCTCAGGACTGAGAACGTCTTGTGTGACCCACTGTGCCCTTCACCACCCAGGCAGTTCGCACTATGGTGCAACATGAGATAGTCACTCTATTTTCCCTTGGCACCAGAACACAACTGTGATTTTCCTTTTTTAAAATTTGCCATGGGGTGCAGAGACAGAGAAAGGGAGAGAGGGAGAGAAGAAAAATGAGAAGCACCCTGGGGGAATGTCCACACCCCAGTCTCTTTTCCTCCATTCTCCTCTTGAGATTTTTGGATATGCACACACACCCATCAGTTTTCCAAACTGCCAGGCCCAGGACTCAAACCACAGAGTCGGTCGTGAGGGATCCAGCCACCTTCACCACCATGCCACCAGCTGGTCCAGTGACTGTTCTCTTCAAGGATACACACTTCTGTCTGTCTGACAGCTGCTAACGCCAAACTGACCACTTTATCTAGCGCTGCTGGACTTTGGCTGAGCTGGACTTTGTAAGCCCTGCAGAGCCCAAGGGAACCTCAAAGAGTTTGCAGAGACAGTAAATAAAAGTATGAGTTTGTTTGGGAGAAAAAAAAAATTGAAATCCATGTTTATTTTCTTCTTTTAGAGGCTTTTGCCTTAGGGAGTATGTGCTCTCCAGAGAGAGAGAGACAGTGAGAAGGAAAGTGAGAAATCACCCCTCAGCAGGGATGGCCACACCATAATCCCTTCTCCTCCCAAGATCTTGGGCACACACGCACATGCACCCAGTGTGAGCTTCAAGCCACCAGGTCTCTGACTAAACTGCAGTTGGCCACATGGGAGAGTCCAGTGACATAACCACTACACCATCTGCTGGCCCCAGAAATCCATGTGTATTTTCATAACAGGCATTTTCTGTAAATTTTTTGAAGACCCCGATAATTTTTTTGGGGGGGATTTTTGCTATAGGGCACATGTGCTCGCCAGAGAGAGAGAGAGAGACAGAGAGACAGAAAGCAAGAAATCACTCCCCAGGGGGGATGGCCATGCTGCAATCCCTTCTCCTCCATTCTCCTCTCAGGATCTTGGGCACATGCGCACATGCGCCCGGCGTGAGCTTAAGCCACTGGGTCCAGGACTTGAACCATAGTTGACTACATGGGAATCCAGTGACATAGCCATTATGCTAACTGCTGGTCCCCCTGCAAGTAATTTCTTTTTAACAGAGATTTTTTGCTATAGGCTGTGCACACTTGCCAGAGAGAGACAGAAAACGAGAAGTTACTCCTCAGAGAGTATGGCCACACCACAATCCCTTCTCCTCCTTTCTCCTCTCAGGATTTTGGGAATGCACATACATGTGCCCAGCATGAATTTCAAGTCTCCGGGTCTGGGACTCAAACATGGTCGGCCATGTGGGAGTCCAGCGATGTAACCATTATACCATCTGCTGGTCCCTCAAGAGTGATTTTGACATGCAATTTTCTTCAAGTGTCAACTGAGACCTTATCAGTTCCTCTGCTCTAAGATGACACCTATTACATGTTCATTATAACAGACTAATAAGAGGCTAATGCTTAAGCCAAAGTAATGAATGGGGAATGGCTGAATGTAGACTTCGGTGGGAGCGAAGGAGAGAATGGTTCTGGAAGGCCACAGGGAGGGCCTGAACCCCTGCTGCCTCCTCTGGGCCAGGTGGGGCCTACCGAGATAGGTCAGCCGGTTCTGCAGGTTAGATGACAGCTGGGCGAATTCTTCTTTCAGGGAGTCGTGTCTCACCGGGATCTGGGCTATGTGGCTCATGGAATACTTGACTGCTCTCTTCTTGTCTTCAGGGGTGACAGCCTGCTGTGCAGCCAGCATAGCAGCGGAGTACGCAGACGCCGCCTCCACGTCCGCGGGCACTTCCTCCGGCGGCTCCTCGCTGCCCTCACTGAAGGCTGTGATGCTTGTGGCCCCACGGACAGCCCCTGCTCCCAGGACATCTCCGAAGACCCCAAAGGGCCCGGATGCGGCTACAGTTGTTGCTAAGGTGGCCATTTTGGTGGCAGGGGCATCCCTGATTACCTTGGCAACGGCCTCAGCTGTCCGAGCTGCTGAAGTTGCAGCGACTGCGTAAGCTTTGGCCGCGGCGGCAGCCATAGCAGCGGTCACTTTCAATCGTTTGATGGCAGCAGACTGGGGGCCCTTAGGGGCTTCCCTGGGGGCGCCACCTTTGGGGGCTCCCTCCTTGGAGGCTTCATCTTGAGCGAATTTCCTGTGCCGGGTGTAATATTCGTCCTCTTTTTCGTCAAGAGCCGGGAAGTGCTGAGCCTCCGCCTGGGAAGGCTGCAGTGCCTGCGGCCATGCTGAGCTGGACTCTGCCGCTGGCGGCTCGGTACTGGTACTGGGCGGCTGGGGCGGGAAGAAGCCAGGGCCCCAGGGAGGCCAAGGGCCAGTACCAGCCCAGCCTCTAGGAAGAGAGCCCGGCCGCCCGGCGGTGTCATGGGCCAGCCTCCCGGCGGTGGCATGGGCCAGCCGGCTGGTTGTGGAGGCTGAGCGCCAGCGTCAGGCCGGACTCCAAAGGCAGACCAAAGGGCCGGCAGCAAGAACCTAGGAGTCATAGTGGG